ACATACAAAATTAGATTTCATTTATTAGAAAAATGACAAACAGAAGGTATTTCTAAGGATGCCCTAATGAACTTTAAAGTAATAAGCAAAAGAAAGAAGACAATTACAAAATACATGTCTGAGAAGTAATAAGTAGGCCTTAACAGGACAGTGAACCAATGATTCAAAGAAATTCAGATGATTACAACTTTGAAAGAATGTTCAGCTTCGCTAGCAAATGAAAACACTCCAAATTCATGAGAGTAATCGAAATTATGCAGCAGCCTAGAGGAAGAAAGTAGAAATTAGATGAGATATTAGAGAAAACTTAAACTTTGAAATATGCATATAGGTATACATGTATATACGTGTGTATATATGCATACACAAAAATATATAATGTATCTCACAAGGTTACACCAAGGAAAGTTGCGGTCAATTTCAATCTGTTTAGAGAGACAGAAATCTGGTGTTTTGAATATTAATCCAAGGCTTCTGGATGGACAGCTTCTATAAACTTGACCGTGAGCTAGCCTTCATCCGCCAGACAGTTTGTGTGACTACTCCTTTCACTATGGTGGTAGCAACATCTCACCGGCTGTTTTACCCTGGGCTCTTGGGAAGCAGGATTCGGTTCTGGCTCAGCCTTGAAACTCACAGTTTGCACACATGTGCACACACATTTGCACACACATTCCACGCTCACACACATGCTCACACATATCACCTTTGCACTTGATATGTATTGTGGAACACAGAGTACCACATCTGGGAAGAATACGAAACCCCTTCTTCTCCGGGTTCGGCCCAGAGAGTACTCGGGTTACCACCCGCTTGCTTACGGTTGAAAGTAAGATATCACGTGAAGCAGATGATGTGACGGAGTACCACAGGACTGCTTAGCCACCTATCGAAACAGGCTTTACAAAGCCAAGTGGTTGAAAGTACAGCTTGTTGGAACTGTTTAATTACTCCTTGTTTATTAAAAGTATACTATGTACAAGGTGCCAGCGGTACCAGAAGCCACTAAAAACCCCCAATAATGCAGCATGTGAGACACAGCTGCATCTAGGTGAAAATAACATCGCATCCTAAGGCACATTTAGCAAGAGGCTCCTGCAGGAAATGCTGGGACCCTGCTGTGTCTTTTGCTGCTGTGTGCATTAACTTAGGCTCTCGCTCAGCCCCATCCTGTCTCTCCTTTGAAACCAATTGTGTCCTTGACATGAAAAATGCACTTTAGGAACCCTAATGGCTAATTACATCAAAGGGAAGAGAGTCCAAACCTCAAACAAGGGATGATTAACTACACAAGGTTTAACAGAAACAATCACACCCTTGGAACGGCTCTTCTTTAATAAAAATGTTTCTGGTAATTTATTTTCTGCCAAAGTTTGTGTTCTCTGCCCAGGAATGACTCCTGTTTTGTTCACTTCAGGATTTTTGTCCTATCGGAGGCTGGTCCTGACCACGAGCAAACCAGGCAGCCACCTACATAATACGATTAATGCAAATTCAGGACACTGAAGGAATAAACCTGAAGACCCGTGGGAGAGGAAACCCTGTTTGCTCAGTGATGCCTTCCAGACTCCGTTCCATTGCATCCTGGCGTGGTTTTCCACAGAAAACTGGAACCCAGAGCAAGGTCCCACGGTCACACACCAAGGAGAGGTGTGCATGGAAGAGAAGTGTTGGGTTAAAGGAAACAATGTGTTTAGTTATCAACAGAGATTGTAGTTTAACTGTTAAAGAGCCCACGTCCCACAGGCTGGGAATCCAGGAGTCAGGCAGCTTGAAAGACGGGAGGAGCAAAGAATAAACAAAATGTTGGAGGATCAACTCTACTGCTCACTATGTCAAGGGTCAAGTGGCAGGCGGCAGGCCATGTGTTTGCTGATGGCGCCATGGGGCATGCCATCCTCTCACCAGCCCTGTGAAGTGCCTGCCTGCTACAGGTGAGGAAACATCACTGCCAAGACTAAACCACTCAGCCAAAGGTACACCACACCACACAGGGAAACTGATAAGAACACTAGAACACCCTGTCTTCCAATGCTTAGCCTGAGTTTAATTTACCTACTCCTTGCTAATAGGATATCATAAAATCAGTACTGGAAACTGAACCACCGTTAAGTGAACAAAACAGCCAACTCTAAAGCATCATTGGCATTTTAAAAACTTGCTCTTTATTTGTTTATTACTCTTTATCATTCAAATTCAGGATAATGGGAACAAACGGATGGGTGACTTTGAAAAGATGGAATTTGGGAAGAGACGTGACTGAGAAATCCATCCCAGGCATTTCTTAACTGTGTAAATCTAGATGGAATCAAATGACCTGACCGCAGAATGTAGAGACGGTGTTTGAAATGAACCATGTAGTAAAAGGAAAACAATATCAGAAATACATAGAGCGCTTTCTATTTGCTGGACTGTTCTGGTTTTCGGAGATTATCTAAATTTAACATTGATAACCATTTGAGCCATAATCTATTTTGTAATACTCTTTTTATATACAGACAAATAAACCCGAACAGGCAGGTGTAAAGTAACTTAGCTATAATGGCACTAGAAAAATAATCGTGATGCCTCTTTTCACAGTTAATTAGCACCTAATATCAGACAGCAGTGATACTATACTCTCCTCGGTTCTTGGCATCAGCAGCATAGGGGAAGCAGGTCAGGTCTAAAGCTCCAAGACACTGTGTTCACAGAAGACTATGACTGGGATTTGGGGAGACTTTGGAGCAGGGTAGCTAGACCCTAAATTAAGGTAGATTAGGAGGGCTGGCAAACCCTTGCCAAACACTCAGGAAAGCAATGCCACATGCTCGCCTTTTCAACATAGCATGTGTTAGGGCAAGAAAGATGCACTCTGCCTAACAAGTGCTGCCTGAACAAGCATCGCCTAATAGCTGGAATACTCGAGATTTCTTCTCATCTCTGTGACAAAATGCCCTGCAAAGACAACTTAAGGAACGCCTTGTGTTGGCTCGTGGTTTGAGGGTACAGGCTCTCCCAGTGTGAGAGGCGTTGTATCAGGAGCTCACAGGGAGTCCACAGCTGGAAAGTGGAGAGAGATAATGGCTGGTGCTGGACTCGGAGTCTCCTTCTTATTTAGTACAAGACTCCAGCCATGGAATGGCGATGCTCACATTCGGGGTGGGTCTCCCCATCACAATTAATCCTCCCTGGGAGCACTCTCATAGACATATTCAGAGGCTTATTCCCTACGCGATTCCAAATCCTGTCAGGCTGACACCAAGATCAACAATCACAACCATCACTTTTTCTTCTCTCAGAAGACATTCTTGTATCCGGGAAAGACTTGCAATGGATTGAAGAGCTGCAGAGAAAGAGTGTGTGAGCGCATGTGTGCGTGCGTGCGTGTGTGCGCGTGTCTGTCTGTCTGTCTGTACACACACCCACACACACACATGCACACATGCACACATATGAACCATCACTGCCTTGGAGGATTGCGTTATGAATGACACAGCACAGAGGAAGCCCGAAAGAACAAATTTTGAGATGCAGGGTCTGAGTGTTGATTGACACGCTCTGTACGATAGGAAAATCTGGCAGGTGCATTAGCTGGCATCCTCTGATCTGTATGTACACATTCACACTTGTCTTCTTAGGTACTTGGTAATAAGCCGCTTTGAAGACCCCTGAGTAAGCACTGAGATAATATCTGGAGTATGTAGCACTCAGTCCTCTTAGAATGGCTTTTTCCTGCTCCTTTCGTTTCCTTAAGAAAATGTCAGTTTAATCATTTCCTAATGCTTTGATAGCATGTTTCTTTACATAGCCGTAGAACACTCGCTCACGAGTGTCTTAAAAGCACAGATGCAGATGTAAAAGTGCCGGGTAAATGAGGTTACTCTTGGCTAACGAAACAGTCAAAGGGGTTTGAAGGTTTTCTAAACTCAAACGACACCTCTTCCGAGCAAATGACAAAGGTCAAGACAGCTGGGGTGTCTTTGTCTGAGGAAACAGCTGACCGGTAGCCTGATGGACACAGTGATTTAAGAGAAGAAGGGCTTCGGCTGTGCGAGTGTGTTAACCGTTAGGAGGGTTAGCCTGTAGGCAAGAGGGGCTTGAGCAACGGAGGATGAGGAGGAAAAAGATGCTGGGACCAGGGAGAAGGGAAGCCATAGCTGATTCTGATGCCCCACTCCTTAGTGATGGTAACGAAGGTTTAGACAACTCATTAGAATGTGAAGGGGCAGGTGACACCATAAAACATTTTACCCAGCAAGTGAGGACTAAATACAAGAGACCAGCTCTCAGGAGTGATGCCTCTGCTTCTGCTCAGTCTCATTGCAAATTGACTCCATTGGGAGCCAGAATATCTCAGCTTGGAGACAGAAGCCCGGGGCATGAGAGGGGACAACACGGAAGCCATGTGCCCAAGGCTAAGAGACCACAAAAGGCTCAGCAGTTGAATCCCAGAAGAGCAGCAAAAAACCAACCAAACAAACAAACAAAAGGACAGCACAAGTAGTGACCAGTCCCCGAACAGAAGGGAGAGGCCTCTAGGGATGCCTGAAGACAGGGCCGATTTCTCCTGCAAACAAATTAAAGGCCAAAGCAGTTCCAAAGCGCTGAAGCCTGCCTTCAGTTCCAAACTTGACTTGTCACTTGCAGTGGGGGTCCCCTAACTGGGTCAGGACAAGCTCAGGGTTCATCCCAGACCTTCAGGCTCAGCAACAGCAGCAGGTGAATTTAGTCTCACTTCCAACTACTCGTAAAGCAAATGGATAGAACTAGAAAATCAAATCACCCCGAGGGAGGTGACCCAGACCCACAAAGGCAAACATGGGCATGCAGTTACTCCCACGTGGATATTAGCTGTAAAGACTATCCCTGCTGCAATCCACAGACCCAGAGAGACTAGGTAACAAGGAGGGCTCAGTCGGGGACACCTGGATCTCCCGGGAAGGTGAAGCATGATGCTGTAACGATGAACGGCACACTTACTGAAAGTAAAACTAAGTATTATTGTAGAAATTACTCACAAGATACCAAACAAGTAACCCAGATGAGCCGAGTAGTTTTCCGCCGCCAAACTGGAAGCCGAAACCCGGAAAAAGTGACCAAGACTTCCGTTGTTCAGTCTTTTATACCTTCCCCCATAACGCCCCTAGCCATGCCCAAAAGTGGGCCTGGCTAGTGACATAGTTCACCGCCTACATCCGTATACGTCTTTACGTCTGTCCGTATACGTCTTTAGTCATACCTAAAGTGGGCGTGGTTAGCAGTGTGGTAAACTGCTCTTTTATTACCTCGTCTGTGTGCGCCTCTAGTAAGTGGTTAATGGCGGCATTGTTTTCCTCCTACAGAAGCAGAAGAGATTTCCTAAGCAGGCTGTAGGCAGGTGGGGGATGGGAACATGAACAGTCATGTTTGGAGTGGGTGGAGGGGGAGGGTACTGAAAAATACTATTAGAAGCCGGGGCACATTTCAGAGCCGGGTAAAAACGTGATGCGAGGGAATCTCCCAGGAATCTACAGGGATGACCCCAGCTAAGACTCCTAGCAACAGCAGGTACATAGCCTGGACTCACCATCTCCTGTGACCAGGCAAGACTCCGAGTTGAGGGAATGGGACACCAACCCAGCCACATAAACTTCAACCTACAGTCTTCCCTGCCTGGATGAGCTGGAGTTAAGGGGGGTCTAGAGATTGAGGGAGTGGCCAACCAATGACTGGTCTAGCCTAAAACCCATTCCAGCAGAGTAAGCCCACCCCTAACACTGCCTGGAGCACCAGAAGCCAATGGGGTCAAGGATGCCACAAGAAAACCCACAGAATCGACTAACCTGGGCTCATGGGGGCTCACAGTGAAACTGAACTGACAACCAAGGAGTCTACATATATGTTAGAGTTGCACAGCTTGGGTCTCTTCTGGGCTCCTAATAGTGGAAATGGGAGCCGTCTTTGACTCTTTTACTGGCTTTGGGGACCCTATTTCTTATACTGGGTCTCCTTGCCCACGCTTAATACATTGGGGGGGGAGGTGCTTAGTTTTACTGCAACTTGATAAGCCATGTTTTGTTGAGACCTTTGCGAGGTCTGCCCTAAATAGAAACAGAAGAAGAGTGGATGGCAGGGGGGAGGGAGGCTGGGAAGAGAGGAGGGAGGCAGAACTGTGGCTGGAATGTAAAATAATTAATAATTAATTAAAGCAGAATGGAAACATTACCAGTGTTTTCAGGAGTGTTGAGACTAGGACATAGGCCTATCATGAAATGCAGTCAGGAGTTAGGCAAAGACCTGCTCATGATACGCACTTGGTGAGAGTCCTATCAGTGCCCAGAACACTTGGCCATGACAGGGGGTGTCTTGGAGATATATGAACATAGAATATTTTATAAACATGGAACAGCTAAGCCCCAGCCTCTGAGGGACTTCTGGAACAGTAAGAAAAGCTTGTTCTCTATTTCTTATAACTAACGACCGGGGTGGCCTTGTCTTCCGAACCACTGAAATGTAGAACTGGGCTTGACTTTCGGGAACAGAAACGGAAGTTTGTCTTCAAACTCCCCTTCTGCATGTGGGTACTCATCAAGGACCCCAACACACACATCCCAAGACATCCTGCTGATAAAGGACAACGTGATCACAGCCAGGGATTTGTACTACCAACATTTAAATAACCGAGTGAGTGCTAATATTCCTCCCATGATCTTTCCCCATCTGAAGGTGAAGGCAATTTCCCAAGTATTAAATATCACAAACAACTGTTTCCTAGAAAGATGCTGATTTTCTTTACTTTTTTATTGCAAGAGTATCTCAAACAAAGCTTGTCTTCTAGGGCGCGTGGGCTTGCTTCGGAATGTAGGAGCTGGTAACAGTAATGGGTGGTCGGGCCGTCACATGCCTCCTCCTTTCCAAGCTAGGTTTTTTTTTTGTCCTCCCTGTTCTTTCCCCTACCCTCTTTGTTCCGTCTGCACATCAGGACCCTGGCAAGACAACATCAGCAAACTGTCTTTTCTCTTTGCCTTCCGGATGGCTCTTCCATCGAGAGACCCAATGGAAGATCAGGGTGGTACCTGGTCTGGCTTTCACCATGAGGAACTGTGGGTAACCAGGGGCTACTATGCAACTGGGAAGACCCCAGCTCCCAAGAACACCAGGTCTTGCTTGGTTCTACTCATCACTTTCTAAAGATTGTCCAGAGGATTAGAACCAAGAGCATGCATACATATTATAAAAGGAGATTTATCAGATCAGATCATACGATGGGGACAAGGAGTACTAACAATGGCCAACTGAGTGCTGTATGGGAGGGAAGCCAATAGCTACTTGATCCAGGGAGCTGGGTGTCCGGAGCCCCTTGAAGGGTCACTGCTTTTCAGTCTGTGCTGCTAAAGAGGCCGGAGGTCAGCATCAATGAAGATGACAGCATCGATAGGCACACTCTGGAAAGTATAGAAGCAGACAGACACACAAAATGATTTTTCATGGGGCCTCTCTGTGTCTGGATCACCCATTGAAAAGCTCTACACAGCAAGTGTTCCCTTCTTCAGCTAATCTGCCCTGGAGACTCTGCAGATACCGTCAGAGATGTGTTTCCCAGGTGATTCGAAAACCCCCAGGTTGACATCAGGACATCACACTCCTGACCTGCTCACTGCCAACCCCCTGGTACTACCCCGTCTTTTCAGCCCCCCACTCATACTTTTAAAAACGGTATTTTCGTTGCATAATTCCCAACTGTCCTCACAGTATGCTATTTGCTTCCTGCCGGGACCCTGAAGAATACAGACTTTTGTCTATTAATTTCCTGGTGTATCAGTCAGTTTGAGGAAAACTGATGAACCAACATCGTGGAGAGGAGAGGCCACTCTTCTCTGGTCTCCTGAAAGGGTTGTGAGGAAGTCAGCTACGATCAAGGGCTAAAATGGAACCTGGGGATTATCTGAGGGTTTCAATTATCCTTGCTCCCCCTCATCCTATCTTGCAGAGGGTTGGAGAATTGGCTGTGTCAAGACAGAGTTGACACACATCACGGAGGCTGTACGACAGTCTACCTCCTCATTAAGAGTTCTTTACTTTGTCCCACTGATCTTCCTCTTCTTGCAATGCTTTTGATGTGCATTTAATTCTAAGTTCTGACAGAGAAAGGGTCTCACATCTGCTGTTCCCAATGCAATCTTCACAGGACTGTCAAAAAATGCAGCCATTTGTCCCCAGGGCTTAAACCGCCAGCTCTGAAAGGGGTCAAAGGCTCTCCCTGGGAACATCTACAACAGGCAAGCATATATTTAAGATCTTCATTTTATCTCTAAGTTTCCTTCAGTCTGATGTTAATTTGGCTATATCATAGTTGCATAAGCCTCATCTATACTTAGGATGTCCCCCCAAAAAAGAGTAATAACTCAATTCTCATTTCCTAAAACCACAAGTCTACCTGCTGTGCATAGAAATGGTACTAGAGCAGATTTAGACACGTGAAATGTAATGAACCATTTCCATAAGTGAAAATCACTTTTCTTTGGGTAATTTCTGCGTAGAACTCTTAGACGTGTTATATATTTCTACCCTTGATGGTCTGTGGCTCAAAGAGGAATATGAAAATCTAGTTTTTAACAAGCATTAAAAACCAAGTCTTGGCTCATTACCTGTCAAGAAAAGAAAGCGTCTCTCTATATACAGCATAGTTTTGCTTCAGTTTATTATTCCTTGGATAAATATATATATATATATATTTAAACATTGTTAATATATGTAAATATAGAATGTTAATACAGTAAAACATTATATACAATGTTTTTCATATGTATTGTCCTATAAGCAATGAAAGTCTCTATCTTCAGAGGCTGGAGATACTCTTCCATGAGTAAGAGTGCTTGCTGTACAACAAGAGGACCTGGGTTCAAATCCTAAACACCCACTTAGAACCTTTGGCACAAGTGCTCATACCTGAAGCACTAGCATTAGAGGGTAGAAACAAGTGACTCCCAGAAACTCTCTGGCCAGCAAAACTGCTACCCAAAACAGCAAACTCCAGTTTCAATGAGAGACTCTATCCAAAAATACATATTGAAGTGCCACAAATGAAGATATCCAGTAGCCTACTCTGTCCTCCATGTGTGCATGCATGCATGAACACACATGGACATATCACACACACACACCGTAAAACCTTGACCTTGTTTTATGAATTCTTTCTGAATTGGGACCTCCTTGGAATCCAGTGTCTCTTTAAAGTTAGCTGTCAGAGATGGTGACAGCAGCACTAATTAATCTTCACTTCTGTGAAATGGATGAGTACTTTTCATGATTCATAGATAGCTGGTAATTTGGAAAATGGCGTCTGGATATTTCACCAGGAGATCTTTGGTTTTGAGTGTCATGCTTGCGTAAAATTCCTAATTCATTTTCCTCTTCCTCACTTCTTAAACTGCTACATTTGGAATTGAAGCAATGACGTCACTTATTGGACCTGGAATGAGCTCGAGCTGCTCAAGTGTGAGTTCTGAAGTCACCAAACACGGCTCATTTTTCCTCATGAAGCCAGTATTGCTAGTTAACTCTGCAAGGCAACGAGGAGGAGAAGCACACTCATCTGGCTAACGACTATGTGTAATACGTACAAATGTGCTCTAAGCAAGACTGCAGCTATGGTGGGTATTACTACGAGTTTTTCAGGAAGCCAGTGAACAATCAACTAACTGCTTCCAAGCAAGGTAGTGCTCTTAACACACACTGCCAGGTGGTGAGATTTTTTGCCCCGATATTTGAAAGAAAAGAACCTTCACAGTTGTTTCTATGAAAAAATAACTTATTTGAGCAATTTTGGAAAAGATTTTAATATATATGTATATATTAAATAAATATATATTTAATAAATGTATATTAAGTATATATAAACTTAAGCAGCTATGGCTTAATGTTGGTCAGTAGTCAGAGAACTTGATTATAGTACCCAGATTTGTTAATAAGTGAACTTTCTATCCTGAGCCAACAAACAAAAAGGTCTTTGGGGGCTCAGTTTCCTCCTGTGTTAAAAGCAGTGAGACCTGGAGCTGGAGAGAGAGCTCAGCAGTTAAGAG